GCTGAGCGCTCTGCTCGGCACGCATGGCGCCCGCACACGGAGTCTGACCTGATGCCAACGCAAGGGGGCTCATTATGAACGCCCCTCTCGCCGGAATCTGGCCCTGGCTCCCGCTGCTCTGGGCCTGGCTCGTCCCCGAGGTCAGCTCTTCATGGTGGTAAGTCCGCGCGCCCGGCGGGCGCAGGGTGGGGTGGGGGGTCTCCAACGAGGAGAGCGGGGAACGCACTGACCCTCCCGGTGGCGCGGCCACGGCGGTGGCCGGCCGCTCCTGGCGCCCGATCCCGAGCTCCTGGGCTCTTCCCAGCGCACCATTCCAGCTGTGACAACTCCAGAAAAGCCACATCCCCGCTCGAATGTTGGTTTATTTGGATCCAGCTGAGAAACCGCAAAACCAGCCAATTTCTTATCCCGTTGAGAGATGCGCTACCCGGGTCTTTAGCACAGACGTGTGTGTGTGTGTGTGTGTGTGTGTGTGTGTGTGTGTGTGTGTGTGTGTTCACTTTCACCTTGGAAACGACAATCGCCTCTCTCCCCACTCTACCCACCCCCAAACAAAAAATCACCTCTGGATGAACCGATGCACCATGTCAGGCAGACGGGACTTGTAGCCCCTGAAGCAGGCGATTTTGCTTTATTTCCAGTCCTTCCACATTCCTAATGCTTCACCCCAGTGGGGCGGAAAGACACTTAGCTTCATTTAGACCGAAACTACACCCTGGTCGCGGGGATCCGCACCCTGGAGGCTGAAGATGTTCAGAACCTCCCCACCTCAGAGTAACGTTGCTGCTGTCTTTTGGTACGCAGAATTGTCATGCTCCCCTCCCCATGCCTCTGTAAAGAAGGAACGTTGAGCAGGGACAGGTCCTAGTATTATCAAGCCCTCGCACCCCCCCCCCAAAAAAAAACCAGAAATCTCGCCCCAGTCAGAAACTTTCCCCCATCCTCTGAGACCTTCTGATCTTGACTGGGGTGGAGTCGGGAGCTTCAGGAGGCTCTCACATCAAAGTTGCAGAACATTAAATAAGGATTCCGAAAGACCTGGTGAGTGCGGGCGCTTTTGAAAAGGATGTTCCTTTTGAATTGAAGAGGAAGGAAGACCTTGGCCTCTTTAGCAACAGATGGTGTGAAGCCGATGGGAAGAGGGGTTCGGTTCTTGCCTAAACCAGCTCGGAACAGGAAGGCGGTTAGCCTTGACATTGCTGACTTAGGAGCAAAGATTGATTTATCCCACTGGCCTCCCCCCCTGCTCCCCCTCAATGAAATAACTATTCTGTTTTCATGTGTGTATCGACATTATTTATTGCCTCGACTTTTTGTCACATTGTCTCTCAGCTGTCATGTAAATGTATTTTTTGGAAGTCACAGCTGTAACAATTTTATGATCGTATAAAATAATGAAAAATATAAGAAAAAGACATTCCCCCTGTTCAATCGCTTCAAAAGACACCTATGGCAGCTTGGGTTATATAAAAGGTACCTTTCTAAACATTTCACAACTAATAGAGAACATCTGGGTACAGATGATGATGTAATTTTTTGTTAAAGTTTCTTTTCAAAAGTGCTTTATGGAGCTATAATACTATTTGATTCTTCCAAGCATTTAGTGTCCTTAATAACAATAGAGATATTTTTTTTCTCCCCCCAAAGCTTTTCTGTAAAAGCCCAAAGGCGCTGGGAAATGGAACTGCTGAGAGGATTCTTTAGTCAGGAAAGAACAGCGTGTCTCCAGAAGCGTGTAACCTCGGATACCAGCAGGTGTTGATTAGACAGATAGAGACCATTTTAAATATACCCGAACGTTAGGTCAAATGAAAGTGAATGAGGCACTTGGAAAGGTCGGGTTTTCTCCAAAGCTAGGTCCAGAGATCAGAGAGCTCTCTTAGGAAAAGCCTTTGAAGTGTTCTCTAGCAGAAAGCTTTTCTCTCTCATCCCTATCTAAGAGGGCAAACTTTGCCTGGACTCCCCACCCCTTTGCCCTTGCCAGAGCACCATCCACAGGTGGAGGCTTCCTGGTGAGAGGCACTCAGAGACTCTCTTTGCTTTGCTTTCTACCCAATCACTGGCCATCCTGCCCGACTTGCTGCTTCTCCACTGATAGATGAGGAACACAAGGGTAAGGAAAGGTGCTCCGATCTCTTCCTGTTGCTCAGACCCTTGTGTTGGTCCCTCACAGGTACATGAGAGCTACAGGCACCTCCAGGGTGATGTGTGACAATGTGCCAGGCTTGGTGAGCCGCCAGCGCCAACTGTGCCACCGACACCCGGATGTAATGCGTGCCATTGGCCTGGGGGTGGCCGAGTGGACGGCAGAATGCCAGCACCAGTTCCGACAGCACCGCTGGAACTGTGACACCCTGGACAGAGACCACAGCCTCTTTGGCCGGTTGCTGCTCCGAAGTAAGTGTTCTGCCTCAGCCTCACCTCACAGTCTCTGCTGCCCCACACCTGTGGTGAGGCTTACCTGCTCTCCAATCCCCTGCTCATCTCTAACTACATTTTATTCAGCTAGAAGCTTATTCTGTTTGGTGGCATTCTTCCTGCCACTCACTCACTGCCATCGAGTGGATGGTCACTCACAGCAACTTCATAGTACAGGGTAGCACTGCCCTGTAAAATGTCAAAGCTGTAACTGTTTTTAGGAATTTACGCCTCGAATTGCTTCCCTGGAGCTGCTGGTGGTTTTAAACTGCTGACCTTGAAGATCGCAGCCCAATGTGTAACCACTACGCCACCAGAAAGGGCTGGATCAGTCAAGGAACTTGTCTAAAGTCTTTGAGGAAGCCAGTCTGCATCTAGTACCTGGGGCTCTTGCCCTTCTTGTCCATCTTGTAAACCTGGCATGGCCACCGGGTTCAGACTTGATCTTAGGAGCAGGGAGAAAGCAGCCATTAAGACTCTTAACTTTTTACCTTCTCTTTCCTGGGGTAGACTCTTCCTGAAGGACTTGTGCAGAAGATTGGGATGGAAGGCTCCAATGTTTTATTATCCACAGCTGATCATGAGTACAAAAGCTCCATAGATACTTCATCAAGATGCAGAGATGGGGCGCCTCCACACCTCCTGCCGAGCTAGCTCTTCCACGTAGGGCACTGTCTCTGTTGGAAGCTGTGCTTCTCAACCTTCCTGATGCCGCGACCCTTTCATACAGTTCCTCATGTTGGGGTGACCCCACAACCACAACATGATTTGCATTGCTACTTTCTAACTGTAATTTTGCTACTGTTACGAATTGGGCGACCCCTGTGAAAGGGTCTTTGACTGCCAAAGGGGTCGAGACCCACAGGTTGAGAACCACTGGTCTAAAGGAAACCTGTTTCTCCATCCTCTGTAAATTCCATCAGGGTAGGGGCTGTGCTGCCCCGCGCCTTGTCTATTGCAGAGACTGCGCATTCCTTACAGCCAGTAAATGGACGAACTTGTCGTGAATGCCTACCATTTCCCTGATGCCTTTTAGGGAGTAAGGACACTGAGGGAGGATAGGAGTGAGGATCATGAATATGTAGATTTCTTCTTTTCTTGCATGAAGTGTTTCGTTCTTAAAATTATACAGAAGCTTCTTCGGTGTTCTGAATATGGAAAGTAGCTCCCTGCTGCTGCTAGGTGTCAGAGTTCATGTCAACTCACAATGACCCCAGGTGACAGAATAGAACTGTCCCTGTGGATTTCTGAGGCTGTCAGTCTTTACAGGAGTGGAAAGCCTCAACTTTCTCCCGCAGAGGGGCTGGTGAGTTTGAACTACTGATCTTGCAGTTAGCAGTGCAACACATAACCCATTATGCCACCAGGGCTCAGGAGGTGGGCTCAAATCCACCACCTTTGTGTTAGCGACTGAGTCCTTACCCATTGGGTTACCAGCTAGTATAAAAGCAGGGGCCATTTTTGCACATCAGATCTCATTTTCAAATAATACCTGCCCGCTGACCTGGCACTATGGCCATTCTTTGAGAAACAGCACCGCCCATTTGCTGGTGGGAAATCGAACTGAAAACAGACCGCTTATATGCAAACCCCAGATCCAGGAAACTAAGCACTAGCTTTTGCCCTTTCTGTGCCCCCCACGCCCCACCACCCCCCATTTCTAAGAAACTTGCTTGGGCTGTGCACTTGGTAATGCTTAGCAGAGGGTGTTTCTATCATGTAATCATCACAGCCCTAGGGTTTTATGAGGCCAAATGCATAACTGAACATCTCTAAAAATCCCCCAAGGGCGTAGTGCTCTTACTCTTCAAGTCTCCCTAAAGTTAAATTTACTGCGATATTCTGCGGTTTTATTCTCCACTTTAAGAACTGTATTCTTCTGCATTCCTCTTGGAGTTTCGATATGACATCACAGATATTTGAAAGGTCAGTGGTAAATTTCAGCGACATAGAATGTCAGACTTCGCCTCGATGAGCTCACCCGTAAATCCATTCAAGGGCGGACCTGGTCAAAGAGAGTTTGGCGAATATCTTTGACTGTGATGCGCCGGACCCTTCCATGGTGCTTAAAATACGGAAGGAATTTTCTATTGTAGAGCACTCACAACTGTCTCCCAGTGATGTATAAATTGCCTGCCCATATTTATAAAGCATCCGTCTCTAGATGCTGTCTATGGAAGTCTGTGGATGTCACAAATCAAAGGAGGCAGTTTTGACTAGCGTTCCTGAAGATCACAGATCCGCTAAAGCTGGGAATTAATTCATGATTCTTAGCTTAACCTCAGCAAGAAGGCTTGTTTCTTCCGAGCTGGAGAGGAGCTGGAGAGTTGCGGAGAGGGAGGAGGCCAGACCCAGGGGAAACGTAACCTGCTTGACTTTGTCCAAGGCCCCAGGTGGAGAAGAAATTTCTGCTTGCGCTTCCTTCAGCTGTCTCACAGATGACGCTGCTGGCTTTGCCAAAGGACTCCAACCCGAACCCATGCGGGCTACACCATTTCCCCCCATGCATTGTAGGAGGCCAGCTTTCCCCTCTGGACATTTGTGCAAACTCTGGTGACTGTCGGTGATGACTTGGTGTTGGATCTGGAGGGCTGAGTTTGGCCTAAAGCAGCTTCTCCTGGAAATAATCATGAAATTCCAGCGCTCCAAAGAGGTTTTTTGTTTTTTCAGGTTTTTAATTCATTGCTTGAAGGGGAGTGCCCATCTCTGATTTGTGAAAAACCCTAACGCCTTTCTTGATGAATCGGAAAGGCACAGGGCAGCACTGCGAGAGAGAACCTGGCTGTTTCTCAAGGGCTCAAGGCCTTCAAGGAAAGGACCACTTCTGCCTTTTCTGCATCCGAGAGCCAGACAGAGAGAGAGGGGTTTTTAGGAACATTTGTCATTCACTCACTCAACAAACACTCACCCATCACAAGCAGAGAAACCTGTCACCTGAACGAGTAAACCTGAAAGTCTTCCTCAAGGAATATGCCTCCAGAATTCTAGAATAAGTCCTCAACCCCCCTCCCCGCCAAAGTGATTAGGTCACATCTTGGCAGTTCTCAATCACCTAAGCCAGCATTTTAAAAGCGAGTTGGACAAGCGACAGTGCTCAAGATAAGCTCTATCTTCTGATCCCTTACCCTTCGAGATGGCCCTCTCTCCTGCCTCCCAATAAAATACTCCAGGAGGAGGAGGCATGGATGCAGCCAGTGTTGGACTTCTCTCAATCCGAAAATGGGAGAGACTTTGAAAGGAACACCCCAGGAAGTATGCAACTCACATTTAGATTTGAATTTGAGTGCATTTTCTGATAGCTTTCAAAAGAACCCATTTTTTCTAAGAAGAGACCCATTGTTACAAAGCCAAGTCTTGAAATGTGCTACTATTTCACACATAGCATCTAAGTGATTCATCTGAGACACCGAATTAAAAACATCTTAAGGCTGTATCTACATGATACCAAAACATCTGGAGGTGAAATGTGTTTAGTCAATGTGCTAAATTTTTAAAATAATCCCTGGCTGCTTAGCAAAGTGTTTGAACAATAAATAACAGGAATTTATATTGATATTTTTACTTGGAATTTTTTTCTGAAATGGAGCAGATTTTCTATGTTTTTTTTTTCCTTTTTTGCTGTTCAGTTGACGAGTTCGTCAAATTGTTAGCAAATTACACAAGAATGAATTCCTTTTTTTTTTTAAGTCATTTTATTGGGGGCTGGTACAAGTTGTATCACAATCCATACACACAACAGGGATGAATTCTGATCTCAACATCATGTCCTCCACTCGCTTTCAGGGAGCTCTGGTGGTGTGGTGAGCCGCTCACCACAAGGTCCACGCGTCAAGCACACCAGCTGCTTCGCCAGGCTGGAGAAAACAGAGGCTGTAAAGATTTAGTCTGGGGAACTCATGTGGGGCAGTTCGACTCCGTTCTCCGGTCTCTGTGACTCAGAATTGACAGGATGGCAGTGAGTTTACCACTCTCACAACACTGCCAGGCCACTGACAATCTCCCACACCTTTCCCCCGTGAGCCACCCTGAGAATAGCTCTCATTTCCCCTTTGAAAAAGAGCATAAGGCAAGTTTTGTCTAACTCAAATGTTTGGGACTAGTCCTTCTTAAGTTCTTTCTCTCGTTGTATGCGTACTGTCCTGTAGGTCTGAAGCCAGGCTTTCGCAGACACATAGGCTAACTACAAACAAGATTCTTTTCTAAAGTATAAAGTGGGTATTATGAAAAATGTATCTCAGTGACATTACCAGAGAGTCAGGTTCTTAGCATCTAGTTGCCTTATTTTGGGAAACACCTCAATCTACTTAGAAAACCTATGATCCTGGTAATAGATAGGCGCGTGGAGCCTTCCAAACAGCCCCGCGGTCACCACCTTTCTCCCTGAGAGTGGTACTGCTACCTATGGCACAGGCACAGCCCCGGGGATTGACTTCCCCTGGCTCGGGGCCTGATGGAGTCCTTGTTTGCTTGCTGGAGTTTCTGGGGAGGTATTTTTTGAAGGCTGAGGTAAGTGCCATTTAATATGATGTAGAAGTATTTTCTCTATTTTTAATAATGTGGCTAGCAGAACAAATATTGCAAGGGATGCATAATAAATTTCAACACCGAGTGACAGGCGGCAGTATATGGACTTCCATGCAAAAAGGTCCTCCCACTGTGTGTTTCCACAGGCACTCATCCTGAGGGACCGAATCGCGGGGGGCACTGTGTTCTGCCTCTCGCTGCCACTAGGTTGTTCCCTTCCTATTTTGATTGTGAATAGATTTGCTGCGGCAACCATTAATAAAGAAGCGTGCTACTAACAATGAAATACAGCCTCACTTGAAAAACGAGGTGTACACAGACCCTAAAGAGCCTTATATCTGTCACTATACCACAACACCGTGTTATGAGTTACTACAGATTATTAAAATAATTTAATGTAGTTATTGCACTGAAATATGCCCCTTTCAGCCTGTAAGTGAAAGTAGCCTGCGCTCTAATAAAGAAAATTCTAAGAAAGCACCCCAAAGGGTTCTTGCCCAAGCCTAATTATAGGCGGTAAATTCGTTCCCCTTCTAGAAAAACCAAAGAAAAGCATTTCACTGTCTTTGACCCAATCCAGTGATTAGTGCAGGTGTTCCAGAAGAAAGTAAATTCACCTTCGTAGTTAGACGTCGTCTGGGACTCAAGGGTACCACAGACTGCCGTCAGCAGTCTCTCTTCTTGTGAAAGCGCATGCCCAGCCAAGCTCTGTACTGCAGGTTCACGTGGATGTGTGTGAAGGGAGGTGTGTGTTACTGAACCCTCTTCCCACCGAAGCCCTTAGATGGCTTGGAATTCAGTAGTACACGCTTGATTCTTTAGATGCGGGAGGGTCTTCCGTGATGCCTGGGGGTTGGAAAGCGTTTCCTGAGAGCAAGTGTGGTTTTAGGAACACCAAAGTGTATTCGGGAAGTAGCAGATTATAGACCATCATCTTCTTGGCTGGTGCAGCTGGTTAACAGCACTCAGCTGGAATCTTAGCAGCTGGAGGAGTGAGCTTCCCAAGGCCTGCAGAAGAGCATCCTGGTGCCTACTTCTGGAACACCAGCCACTGAAAACAGTAGGGGTCGCAGTGCTACTCTGCCACCTGTGGGGTCACCAGGAGTTGAAATCAACTGCAACTGTTTCCTGCTTGGTTGTTTCCCCTCAATCTTCTCTTGCAGATGCAGCAATGAGACCGAGAGAGGTGATGGCTCTCTTCTACAGCATTGAGGGGTGGTCTTAAAGCAGCGGTTCTCAACCATCCTAAGGCCGTGACCCTTTCAAACAGTTTCTCATGTGGTGGTGACCGCCCCCCCAACCATCACATCATTTGTGTTGTTACATCATATCTGTCATTTTGCTACTGTTATGAATATGGTGACCCCCCACGTGGTTGAGACCCACAGGTTGAGAACCGCTGGCTTAAAGCAACGCACTCACGTGGATAAAATGAATTAGCCGGAAGCTGAGCAAGGCAGTCTTTTGCTTCACTTCTTGGTTTATTCTGTGCGTATTTTAAGATGTCATGCAGATGCCACTATTGACCCAGAACCCATCCCTCAGCTGCGGTTGCTTTGCCTGAGAGAAGCTTTTGGCTGTAGACAAAGCGTCCAGAACGCAGCACCCTTTTGTCCCGAGGCAGGTTCATTGATTGTGAAAGCAACCCTGTGGGCAAGTTCTTCAGCACACTCCATGCCAGACCACTTTTAAGAAAAGCATTTTTGTTTCAGGTAGTCGGGAATCTGCCTTTGTTTACGCCATCTCCTCAGCCGGAGTTGTATTTGCTATCACCAGGGCCTGTAGCCAAGGAGAGTTAAAATCCTGTTCCTGTGATCCAAAGAAGAAGGGTACTGCCAAGGACAGCAGGGGCACTTTCGATTGGGGTGGCTGCAGCGACAACATCGATTATGGGGTCAAGTTTGCCCGCGCCTTCGTGGATGCCAAGGAGAAGAAAGGGAAGGACGCCAGGGCGCTGATGAACCTTCACAACAACAGAGCCGGCAGGAAGGTAGGGACCCCAGCCTGGGGCATTGCGGACCTTCCGACTTGACCGGAAATCCCTGGGGCTAGAGCTCTCCTTCCCTGGCCCTAGGGTCCATAAGATGCTACAGAGCCCACCTTTCCACTGCCCCCCCCTCAGTCCCCCAGCCTCGGAGAGCTGTTCTCGATATTCCCACCAGCTGGGTTGAGCTATCCCACAACCAAGCTGACGGAGTCCACCCGTTGCGCTGGACATTGCGTTTAGTCAAGTGTTTTCTGGTATCATCAGACAGAGACTAGACTGTGCGTTAGGACATGGCGTGCACCCAGCACCGGGGCTTGTGGCTCTGGGAGACTGAGGCCGGGAGCATCCTCTCCAATACTGTCTGTATTGTAGTTTCTGGTGCTTCATGAGGAAGTGGAGGAAGTTGAAGGGCCCTGAAGGGGTCCTCTGGCCAATCGCCCTTCCGCCCTCACCCTCCTCTGGGCCGTGGGGTTAGGGTCAGCGTTCCTCCCCAGTCTCCGTTGGTTAGATGAGAAAACTGTGGCTCTCCAGGTGCTCAAGCCCACGCGATGATCTTCGGTGTCAACTCCGAAGCCAGGGTGCTTTGGCCGAGGATTAAACCATTTCAGGGCCAGCCTTCAGACCCACCGATTAGCCACACCTGCTTACATGGTGAGAGGAGCCCTGACCAGACTAACTAGAAAATCTAAGTGGTGTGCCTGATGCGTAGGCATTGGAAGCCCAGACGGGCTGGCTGATCAAATACTGAGTCTGCTCATTCTAGAATTACTCGTCTGTCATTGGAACAAGATAGCCACGTGTTTTCTTTTATCATCATAACATAAAGAATGTACGCGATATTAATGTATAAAGAAAGATCATGTAATATTGAAAGGACCCTAGAGAGATAGGTAAGCATTAATAGGGAAAAGAAAAAAAATGAAGGCAGCTCCTATGGGGGTGAAAATCCTTTGCAGAGTCTCGTGGAGGCTCAAATCACTTAAAGGATGCTCGAGGGACGAGCTCTTGCTTAGCACGCAGCGTGAGATGAGTGTGACCTGAACTATTTACAAATAGTGCCTTCCTTGACCGTGAAGGCCCAACATTCCTTGTTTCCATGAATGTATGGACAGAGTGACGACTGCCAAGAATATAGCCCACGGTTGTGCAATCCTACAACGATTGGTAATTAGTGTTTGTGCAATGGTTTGGATAAAAAGGGGGAAGTTTTTTTTTGCATTGACCTTTGCGGCATGTGTAAGTTAAAAAGTGTGGTGTCTTTGATAGGAGTGTGCTGGCTGATGAAGAGCACTCTGAGACTAGTGGAAAAGATAGAGGCCCACCGTCGTCACACACACACATCTCTGAGAGCATGTGGAATTCTCAAAACAAATGCTATTTTTGCTTACTGGGTCAATAGACGTTGACTGTTTCAACTCTTCAAGACAATAGATCTGGGCTATTATATGTTAGGCTCTGAGTAAACATGGACTTTTAATGTAAATCACATGATTCTTGACTGTGTGGAGGTGAACAGCTGTCAGGCCTCAGATATTCTCCTGCCCACTCTGTAGAATTTAGGAGGCTACTTTTGATTGGAATAAAAGTGCACACACTGACTTTTTTAAATGTGGCTTTAATTAATGGTGGGTGGGCAGGCTTGTTCAAGGAGATGCATGATGTCAGTGAATATGAACTTTAATGAGAGTAAATGTATCGAGATAAACATGCTTCTCTAATTCTCTTCTTGCGGTCATTAGACCCCCAGTCTCAACTCCCCCTTCGTACCAGCAGGTCTGTGGAATGAAATGAGATCAGGCTGGTCTGGGGGTTGAAGGCAGACCTCCTGAACTAAGTCAGCTTCTAACCAGATCGTTTCTAGAAAAATCCAGCCTCTTGGGGTGGACAGCAGCATCGGCTCATTTTTATGTCCTTCTCTGTGCTTCTCGGTATTTTCTAAAGTTTCCAGTGTGAGCATCTACTTTTTTAAATTAGGAGGAGGAAACCCAGTCCGTTTCATTAAAAAAAAAAAAAAAGCAATCATCTGTCCCAGGATTGTTCCATTAAACAGCACTACATGTCCACAGTCAACACTGCCGTTCACACACCAGGCCTTACTCCGCTGGCCACTAACCGTTGAACCATTGTAATTCACTTCGATAGCTGCTGGATAAAACATCCTCATGTGTCTTTGTGCTGTAAATGTCATTTTAGGTCCTAGAGAGTCAGTCTTTTCTTTAAAATCACACTTTCGATAAGCAGTTCTCAACCTGTGGGTCACGACCCCTTTGGGGGTGTAATGATCATTTCACAGTGGTCGCCCAATTCATAGCAGTAGCAGAATACAGTGATGAAGTAGCAACGCAAACAATTTTATGGTTGGGGGTCACCACCCCATGAGGAACTGTGTGAAAGGGTCGCGGCATTAGGGAGGTTGAGAACCACTGCTGTAGATGATGGGAGGCCCCCTGGTGAATCATGGGGGACCGGTTGGGCTGCTAACCACAAGGTCACTGCCAATCCACCAGCCGCTCAGCGAGAGAAAGGTGAGGCTCCTTTCTCCATTAAGGATTGACAGCCTCAGACACGTGCCGAGAGTCAGAACTGACTTGAGCGGCTATGGGCTTTGCTTTTTATTCCTTCAACAGAACAGATGATGATATTGTTTTCCTTTCGCATTGACATTGCGTCTAGAGTAAGACAACCAGTGATCGAGGTCTAAAAAGATAGGTCCACCCTGTTTAAAACAAACATAACATGGAGAAAATGCCACATGTTCTCTCAGTGACCCTTCTTAAGGCTTCATTCAGAAGGCATTCTCTAAAAAGGTCTAGAGTATATTTTAAATCATGCTTAAGTAGATGCCAAGTGAAAAACTAACCGGTCAGTATCCACCATCGAGTCCTCTGTGAGCTTGAAAATGACATTGAAACCAGCTTGCTCTTTCCTGTAGATGAAATAATCCCTGTGCCCCCTTTGACCTTTTCTAAGAGGATCTTTATCAAAACTAGCTGTGTGCAGAATTCACTTCTACCCTTCAATCCCTGGAAATTTCTCTAAGAATGGGCATGCCATACAGTTCTCTCCAGAAAAGTAATTTCTTCTTATAATGAATGAAGACCTAGGGAATCAGAAGGATGGAGCCTGGTCTTCCAAATAGGATGACAGTTAAGTCCTGAAAGAGAAGCCTCCTGTTTTTCAAAGAAGTCCGGGAGGCTTGCAGGGTTCTGCATTGAACTGCTAGCGACAAGGTCAGTAGTTTGAACCTACCACCCACTCCAAGGGACAAAGATAGGCTTTCTGCTCCCTTAAAGATTTATATCTTCAGAAACTTACAGTGGCAGTTCTACTCTGTCCTGTGAGGTTCCTTGGCGTTCAAATCCACATGAGGGCAATGAGTTTGGGGCTTAACAGTGTTTCAATCAAACATAGTCAGCAGAAAACCCCTTACCTTTTCTCAGCAGCCCTTCTTAGGTCTAAAGAAGTCATTCTGTGAAAACTTTAAAAAATATATTTAAAATGAAGTTTCAAATGTATTTTAGAAGTTGAAATCCAAAGAACATAGAATTGAAATCAGACCCAGCTTGATTGTATCCATGCAGCCCCAGGGGCTTAGTTCACTGAATTGCTGTCTTTCTCAAGTGTTAATGGGGCTCTGAGGAGCTCAGAGTTAAGGCCAGCAGCAAAGAACCTGGAGTGTAGTAACCAACACCAACCCGTACTTCCAGCAAGTCAGTTCTGACTCGTAGCAACCCTACAGGACAGAGTAAAACTGCCCCAGTGGATTTCCAAGACTAACTCTTTCTGGGAGCAAAAGCCTCATCTTCCTCCTTCAGAGCAGCTAAGGGTTTCAAACTGTTGACCTTGTGGTTACCAGCCCAATGCATAACCCTCTATGCCTCCAGGTCTCCCCTTGGAGTAGAGTAATTGATCCTTAAAGTGGGTTCCTTCCACCTGTAGTGGAGCTAAGGTTATTGGTCATGTAGGCAGTGGAATAGGGACATATCTGATGTGAGCAATAATATAGGATTCAGTCTGATTCTCTACATATACAGAGGCTCATTTACTCTAGTAATGATCAGGCCTAGAGTGTTTGCTAATTTACAAAATTTCATCATAAAAGCCAAACAAAAAGACCCGTACAGGAATTAAGAGTAGCATTAACATTTCTACTTCACAGATGAGCATCACTCTTAGAACCCGGGCCACACAGTCAGAAAGTGCTGGGCTTGGGATTCAGACCCAGTTATGTTTGCCTGCAGGTACTTTGCTGTGATTCCATGTTGTCGTCGTCAAGCATTTTAGGAAACAGAACATTGATCCTGTATCTTTTAAAAAAGAAAATAAAAACAACTGCCCTCCAGGATTCCCCGCTCTTTTGAGTATAGCCACTTTCCCAACTGCTCCCTGATGAATATGTACTCTTTTTGTAACAACGGGGGTGGTGGTGGGGTGGTAGTGGTGCAGTTATCCTTTAAGCTCTGAATACATAACTGGTAGTCCTCGTGAGCATCTCAAAGCAACTTAACCCGATGTGATGAATTCCCAATATCTGTGAAGGGTGCTGCAAGTCTTCTATTGGGTTGATTTGGTTCAATAGATCTTTTACCAAGGAATAACTTTGAGAAAGGTATCATTTGGGGATCTCCAGCAGAAGTGAAACAGAGCAAGACGAAGAAGCAGCCTCTGACCACGAGAAATTAAATTGTAGTCGGGACATGATTGCTAAAGACAAAGCGGGAGCATAAACAAATGTGGTGAAGAAAGCAGACGGTGCCTAGCTATCAAAAGATATAGCATCTGGGGTCTTAAAGGCTTGAAGGTAAACTAGCAGCCATCTATCTCAGAAGCAACAAAGCCCACATGGAAGAAGCACACCAGCCTGTGTGATCACGAGAGGTGTCAACAGGATCATGTATCAGGCATCAAAGAGCAAAAACTCATATCATTGTGAATGAGGAGTGGGGACCCAAAGCCCATCTGTAGGCATCTGAACATCCCCTTACAGAAGGGTCGCAGGGAGG